TCTAGCAAGTCACCTTTGTTTTGGAGTGGAAACAAATACAGATCTCTTCCACTTGATCTGGGAGCTATCTTCCAAGTTTCTTAGCATAGGCTAGCAAACATTTCAGGTTTGCATCTGTTTGCTGAAACACCTCATTTGGAAGTCCGTATATTCCTGCAGCCTTCAGTACAGCTTAGACTTTACTCCTTTCTTACCAATAATTCTTGATCATATCTACATCCTGAAATGATTCAATGTCAGCAAGTATTTTTTTTCTACAGTGACTCTATGTATTCTTTCCATCTTCTTTCAGTGCTTCTTGCATCATTCAATATTTGTCCATAGAACCATTCAGTATTAAAACTTGAGGCTTGATTCCCACCCCTGTTGAGTTTGAGCTTCAGCTTGAGAAATGCCAAGTATTTTCTTCTCTTTTGATTAACTCTTGGTCTTTGCACATTTCATCATAATACTTTGCTTTATCTTCTCAAGCTGCCCTTTGAAATCTTCTGTTTGACTCTCTTATTACACCGTTGTTTCCCTTTGCTTTAGCTTCTCTATATTTAAGATAGAATCCCTTCTGATATCCAATTTGGACTTTTCTTTCTTTCCTATCTTTATAATGATTCTTGCTTTCTTTGTGGTTGAGATCCTTGATGTCATCTTATAACTTGTCTAGTCATTAATGTTCAATGCATCAAATCTATTCTTGAGATAGTTTTTAAATTAGGATAAATTAAAGGTTGTATTTTGGCTCTCTTGGACTTGTTTTCATTTTCTTCCACTTCAGTTTCAGCTTCCATATGTGTAATTGACAGTCTGGTCCATGGTCAGCCTTTGGCCTTTTTTTGACAGCTGATATTGTGCTTCTCTGCCAAGTCTTTCCACAGAGGTACTCCATCTGATTCCTGTTTATTACATCATGTGAGGTCCATGTGAATGTTGGTTTTGTTGTTAGGTGCCGTCAAGTTGAACTGAATCCCAATCTATTCTGTGCCGTCCTCACCATCTCTGATACATTTGAGCCCATTACTGCAGTCACCCTGTCAATCTTGTTGAGAGTCTTCCCGTCTCTGGCTGACCCTCCACCTCCAAGCATGATGTCCCTTTCCAAGGAATAGCCTCTCCAAGCAAAACGCCCAAAGTATGAGAGACAAAGCTTTGCCATTCTTGCCTTCAAGGAGTGCTCTAGCCGTACCTTTTCCAAGACAGACTGGTTCATTCTTTTGACAGTCTATGGAATAGTCAGTACTCTTCTCCAACACCACAACTCAAAGACATCAATTATTCTGTCATCTTTATTCACTGTCCAGCTCTCAGCAGCATAATAAGTGATTGAAAAGATCATGGCCTAAAACATGTACACCTTAGTCTTCAAATTAACATCATTGCTCTTCAGTATTTTAGAGAGATCCCTGACAGCAGCCTTGCCCAAAGCAAAACATTCTTTATCTCCTGACTTCTGATACCAAGGGTGTTTATTATGGATCCAAGTAAGTTGAAATCATTGGCAGTTTCAATCCTTTCTCCATCTATCATGATATTACCTATTGGCCCAGTAGTAAGGACCTCTGTTTTCTTGATGTTGAGATATAATTATCTATATTGAAGACTATAGTCTTTGATCTTCTGCAGCAAGCTCTTCAGGTCCTCCTCATTTTGAATAGGCAAGTTTGTGTCATCTGCATAACCTAGGTTTTTGATGATTCTTCCTCTAAGCTTGATGCCACATTCTTCCTCGTAGAGCTCGGCTTCACAAATTACTTGTTTAGCATACAGATTGAACAGATATGGATAAAAGGTACAACCTTGATTGAGAGCTTTCCTGATACTAAGCCATGCATTATTCCCTTGTTCCATTTTGGACAACAGCTTCTTGGTCTAGGTATACATTTCTTATGAGCACAATTAAGTGCTCTGGGATTCCAGTTCTTCTCAATGTTAGCTATAGTTTGTTGTGGCTCACATGGTCAAATGCCTTTGCATAGTCAAGAAAACACAGAAAAGCATTCTTATCATTGGTATTCTCTGCTTTCAGCCATGATCCACCTGACATCAGCAATGATATCCCTGGTACCACAGCCTTTTCTAAACCCAGCTTGAACTTCAGATAATTCCTTGTCAGTAAATGGTTGTAACAGTTGTTGGATGCTCTTCAGCAATATTTTGCTTGCATATGATATTAATGATATTGTTTGATCATTTTCACATTCTGTTAGATCATCTTTCTTGGGAACAGAAACAAATACATGAAACAGGAGTGCATCCACTTCCTAAACAACATGCCTTTGGAAGCTCTATGAACTTTGAGAAATGATGATAGTTATAGAAAGGCTTCAGGTCTTTTGTTCATAGGGTCATGCTCAACTTGATGTTAATCAACAACAACTTTTTTGGTTTTTGTTTAAAGTAGTTGCAAAAAATTACTGATTCTATACCAAATTCTTATATCTTGATGTCTAGCCTCATCTCTATCCCGAGACCAGAGGAATAAACACAAAAAGAGGTTTTCACAGGTGAATTCAGTATTAGAAATCAGGGTGAGATTATCTGAGCTCCTTCATTGACTATGGTCGAGCTGATGCTGTGCTTGAGGTACACCATGTTGATGTTGATGTTACGAAGATTGTGGGATCATCTGGATCACCCCCTCAATTTACAGCTTAGAGAATGTACGTGCTTAGAAGAAACAGGCAGGTCGACCCTTTGTCGTTGATGTGCAGCACAAGACCATTCACAAAAGTGTGTTCCCCTAGGATTTGTGCCCAGGTGTAAGTATCGAGGATATTTGGAGGTCTTTTTGCCTCAGCCTTCATCTTCATTGTGCTTAATTATTTGACAACTGGAAGTAATTTGTGTATATTGTGAAAATGTTAGAGAATAGAGTAGAAAGATGTGAACAGAATATCTCAGAGCTGTGAGGTCATTTATATTTTAGTCTCTTTATTCTTTCTGACTTGGGGGGGGATGTGTGTGTGTGTGTGTGTGTCAGAGAGAGAGAGAGAGAGAGGGAGAGAGATTCTTCCTCACACATCTCTAACATGAAAATAATTCCAACTCACTAACTGAATGGTTTTTATTGTGTAGTTTATTTATCTACTTCTTTATTAGGGAGCTTTGGTGGCCTTGGGTAAGGCATTGTGCTGCCAGCCCAATGGCAGGCAGTTCAAATCCACCAGCTATTCCGCAGAAGACAGATGAACAGTCTCCTCTCATGCAATTGATAATCTCTGAGAACCAACTGGTGGGTCAGACATGAGTCAGTTCTGACTCGATAACAGTGAGACTACGAGAATTCTTTGTTATATCCAAGGACCCCTGGTGGTGCAGTGGCTTATCACTAAGCTGATAACCAGAAGCTTAGAAGTTTGAGCTCACCAGCCACCTCATGGCTTCTGTAGAGATTTCTTGCCCTGGAAGCCCCACAGGAGGTTTTACTCTGTCCTGCAGGCTCCTTTGGGGGTCAGAGTTGACAGGATGGCTGTGGGTTCGAGAGTTTTCCATTTGGTTTTTTGTGGAGTTTTTGGCTTGGTTTGTTTATCACCTCCTCCGGTTTAGGCTGGTTACAGATTTATACATTTAGAAATAAAAGTGATAAATCTGTGTACTCCCCCAGAGTAATTTCCTTGGTTATATTTCTAGAGGTCGAATCGGGAGTCATTGTTTCATGTGGTCTTCAGTTACACAGTACCAACAGTTACACAATAGCATCCATATCTGAATCCTCAGATGGAGCCTTGTGAAGAGAAGGAAGAACTTTCATCTGTTACTCTCTCATATCTCCCTCCCACTTTGCCACTGACTTCTGCCTTTATCTTCTGTCTTTGGATATATCCTAATTACTCATGTTTTGGGACATTGGACCTGGAAATCATATGAAGCTTGTAAAAAGCAAATAGAGATTGTCACATAGTGGTCTCTGCCTCCAGAGACCATAACTGACTTCCTGGGAGGCTTTCAGAGGCTGTAAATAACAAGAGAGGAGATTGCTCTTTTTTCTCCAGGGAGCTGCTGATGGCTTCGAATTACCTGCCTTTGGGTTGGCAGGGGAACTTCTTAGCCACTGGGCCACCAGAGCTCTTTCCTTCATATGATGCAGGAGTGAATAACAATCTCAAACCCACCGCTTCAAGAACAGGTGTTTCTATACCCAGCCAGCTGTCTACCCAGGAACAAGTTGCTTTTCCTTAGCTCTCCACTCATCCTGTCAGTGAGATTGTTTCCACGAGTTCTTTATAATATTCCTTTTAGTAGTAAAACTGTCCATCTGTAATTACTGCAGGTTTTTCTTAGCACTGCCTCGTCACTGTTGGGGGGACCCCAGGTACATGCAGCCATTAAAAAGAAACAGGGTGCAGCCTGAACGTGCTGCTTTGCAGCTTCAGCCTCAAATGAAAATGATTGAACTTCTAATGAGAGAGAGCTGCCTGATTTTCCCCACCATTCACTCAAGTGTTGTTCATAAATCTCCATTCTCAAGTAGGAGGTTCAACTCCTTTGATAGCTAAAATTCTTTGCCTACAGATAGTAGCCAAAGCCAGGCTGGGGGAAACTGGAACAGGGAGGCAGCTTTCTTGCACACCCCACTCCTATCCCTCCAGAATCTGTGTGTGTGGGGTGTGTGTACTCCCTTGTTTATTTTTAGGAGAAGGAGGAGATTTTGTGACTCCCCTGACAATGGTTACATTGCACCATTGTCTACTTAGCTGGAACACTTGCTGTGATTTGCCCTGGCTTTGAAGTGGTAATGTTACAATGTCCAATTGCTGGAATCCAAGCCGTTCCAGCATCCATAGACCTAATTTCTGCTTGTAATCTGATTACGGGTCTGAGCTGGTACAGCTCGCAGCCTTCTGCTCAGCGCTGACAATGCTCTCAAGGACACGAGTGCCCAGTGGCTCAGCCCTTGTCAGCTCGGCGAAAAATCTCAACCTAATTTTCCTAAAATGGGCCCACTGCTGGGGCTGCTTGAGAGTCAGCTGTAGAGCAGGCTCTGCACCTGAGCCGTTCTGTGCGCAACCATGCTCAGAAACCCGGGGATTTGCAGCTATCTGGGAGCCTTCAAGTTCTCTGAGAAACAAGGTAAGGCCCAGAGAGCTAAAAGATGCACTTGGCTTATTTATTTTAGAATGTAATGAATGCCTTGAGTCCTGCGTCCATATTGAGTAATATGTATCCTTAAACTGCTCCTCAAAGGCAACTTTAAGCGGCTCATCCATAAATTAGCTTAGCTTGTGACTCTTGAAAATGTAAAGAGATTTTTGGGGGTGGTTGTTGCTTTGGGGGATTTTTTTCTTTTGTAAGTTAAAAATCTTGTTAAACCTGTTAAGTTTTCACATAGGGAAGATGGCAAGTTAGTAGGAATGGTGAGACTCTGGATCAAGTTCTGATTATGGTTGTGCTGTAGCTATAATATCTTTGTAAAAGCACATGGTGCGTGTCCAAAATTATTGCCAGTAGTCAGGGAGTGAGTGTTGTGCCTTCTCATTAAATCTTCATGGGAGACAGTTGTCTTTTCTAGTGGCTTACTTTTGGGCACAGAGGAATATACATGCTTTCTATTTAACCGCTAACATGGTACCATGTATTCACATCCCGAATAGAGCAAAAATGCTGAAGTTATCTCGGATGTCAGATTCAAAATTTGGATGTGAAATGCCATCATTTTGCATCAAAAGTGTTTTCCGGCACCGGTGCACTCTTTGGAAGTGACTCGAACAAATCAGGCCTTTACATTCAGGGATTTATGTTCTACAAGAGTTGGTAGTTTTTCGAACTGTGAGTTCTGTTCCTTGAAATACATCTCAAGGTACTTGTGTGATTCGGAGAAAAGCTCAGATGCTTGCTTGGCTTTGCGTCTTTCATGTCATTGTATTTCCCCAATTTCTAGAATGTCCAGATCCCAGAATTAAGGTTGTCATTTGACGGATAATGTTGTGTTAGCATCCGGTGTGTGTTGCATCTCGTTTTGTGTGTGTGTGTGTGTGTGTGTATGCCTCCGGCATCTGTCCTCAGATATGAAAGAGTGAAAGGCACGTCCTTAGGGAGAGAAGTTTCTGTACGTGGTCTGCTTGTGGTTTACTTGGTGGACAGATGGTTATGTGCCAAGAGCTGTAAAACAGATTACTTACATGAGACTGGTTGTGAATGTTGCCTGTGCCTGGTTTTGATTAACCCCTTCACTGGGGAGATGTGTTTTTCCTGTGTGGAATTGTTGCCAGCTGTTCTTACATAATAAATTTCTCCTCTTCAAAAACAAATAAGTGGTTAATTTGATGGGCTGTTATCATTTAAAGGAGCCCCAGTGGTACAATGGGTTAAGAGTTGGGCTGCTAACTGAAAGGTCTGTGATTTGAACCCACCAGCCACTCCACAGGAAAAAGGTGAGGTGGGAAGCTTCCATAAAGACGTATGGCCTGGCGAGTCCCACAGGACAGTTCCCTGCTGTCCTCCAGGGTCACTAGGAGTCAGAGCTGAGTGGATGACAGTGAGCTTCACTGATTTGGGGAAACTTTCCCTATTCTCCATGTATCACCCCTTTATTCTTTAAAAGCACCGCTTAAGTATCAAGTAGTGATTATTTTCAGCATTTCTGTTTACCTTGACCAGTTATTTTCTATTTCCTCCTCTTTTTTTTTTTTTCAGTCTGAGCCCCTAACTGGATTTTTCTGTGTGTGTTTTGAATCATCTTAAGATTCCCTTAATATATTTAAATGAAAGCCTCAAACTTTGTCAGTTGGTGGTTTTTTTAAAAACTCACAGAGTATGTTGGTTACATTTTGGGGGGACAGGGAAAGAAAACTGCCTGATTATGCAAAATTTACTTGTGAAATTTGATCCTTTGGATTCATATTTCGTGTATAGTTAACAGTTTCTATTATCTTAAACTGTGTATCAAAAGGAAAATTCTTTCCTATCATAGTTCATGTTTTTTAACATTTCTTTCTTTCATTCACTGCCGGGCTATTTAAATGCTACTTCATTTCTCTTCCCTTAGATTTCAACAAGAAAAACTTAAACTTCATTGGGTTCTCACCTAAAAGAAAATTTCAAAGGTAATGTAGCCTTTTCTTAAGTAATCTTACATTTTAAAGATCTACAATAGTTTTAAAAATAATTCTCTTTAATGCGTAATTTGTGAGTTTATATGTGTGGTTATGTGTTTTCACCTGAGAGTTGAATGTATTGCAGTATATGAAGGAAGCTGACATCAGCCACAGAGATTCTTTTTGTATTTAAGGCTGTTTTGTAGGAGGAGCTGTCTCATGAGAGAGATTGACTTAATGACTGGGGTTATGGGGCAGGTCTGTCAGAGACTATGAAATTGGCTCAGGATAGAACAGGGTTTAGAGCTGTTGTACATAGGGTCGCTACGAGTCATAGTCGACTCAGTGGCACATAACAACAACAACAACACAGGAGCTAGTTGAAGGAAGAGATGTCTCTTATAATTGCTGGGGAACTGTGGTAACAGAGTGGATAAAGAGATGCACTGCTAACTCAAAGAAGTCAGTTCCAATCCGCCAGCTTCTCCGTAGGAGAGGATGGGCAGTCTCCTCCTGTGCCATTGACAGCTTCTGAAAACCCTGGAGAGTCAGCTAGGAGTTCATGCCGACTCAGTAGCAATGGGTTGAAGTTATAGTCTTATAACTGCTAACTTTTAAAGGATTATTATCTTTTCTTTATCACAATTGCCTTTTTTATGGAATGTCCTTTTGGAACCTGTCCATCAAGTAAGAATTTTTTTTTAAAGAGATTTTCCTTCATCCTTCTCTTCCTTCCTTCTGTCCACCCTTCCTTTTCTGTCTTTCTCCATCCATCCATCCATCCATCCATCCATCCATCCCATGTGAGTTTCTGATACCTGGCCATCGCATCCCCTCCTTCACCTTTCTGCACTTCTGGCGCCTTTAGCTGTGGGATTTTTGTGGCTTTTACCTTAGTTTACCTATTATGCCCACTTGTAATGATTCATTGTTGTTGATATTAAACAATGTGAGAAGTAAAGCCAATGCCAACAAGAAAGCTGTATCTCGGGCTTTTCTGGATGACTGGAGGATCCAAGTAAGTCATCAGCTCCTGCGCACTCAGGCCTGGCTCTCAATCAGCCTTGCACTGTAGCAGAAGAGACTAAGCCCTGGCTAAGAGCTGTCTAAGATCTGCCCCTCAATCCAGGCAAATGCTCTTGTTGCTAGTGTTTTAACATTGTTCTGTATTTTAAAAGGGCTTGCATTTCAATGGAATTAGCATAAATACTTGTCCAGAGTTGTCCAACCACTGTCCTCATTAAGCCAAGTCTGACTTCATGTTTAGAATTCCCACGATGACCTTGTGGGCACAGCAGAGAGGACTTAAATTTGATGTACTTCATCCACTGTTCACACACTAGACTCCCTGCTGTCTAATCCATTCCATTTTGTGGTGACCCTCCATTCGGTTGCTGAATCTCTCAGGGAAGACTGCCGTCTTGCTCCCTCAGAATGACTGGTGGATTCGAACTGCTGACCTTTCGTTTAGTAGCCTGACACGTTACACTATACCCCAGGGCTTTTACTGTTTGTTTAGGTTCATTATAGCACTAATGATCGCAGGTCATCAATCAAGTTACATTTGACTCCTGAAATCTGGTTTTTCAAGTGCTTGGTGTAGCTTCCAAGTCTCATATTTGTCATATTTTCAATAGAACCCAGGGCTCATTTTCTAATATATTCCTCACTGGTTGATTGGACAGTTGTAGAATTAATGAGTGACTAAGCTAGGAGAAGCAAAGGAAAGGGAGGCAAGAGAGCATTGTTTTCTCAAAGACAGAAAAACCATGAAATAGGGAGGTAAGACACTTCATTGGAGGGAGACAGCTATTCTAAGATTATGGATTTTTTAAATATAAACCAGTTGCCATTGAATCAGTTCTAACTTATGGCAGAAGAGTCCAAGCATCAGAGCGGAACTGTGCTTCCTGAAGGTTTCAGTGCCCGATTTCTTGGAAGCAGGTCACCAGGCTTTTCTTCCAATGAACCTCTGGGTGGCATAAACTCCTAAACTTTCTGGTAGCAGCCATTCACAGTCCAAGTGTGACCAATGTGACCTGGGCTGGGGATATAGGAAAGAGCCTGCTTTCAACCAGACACCAAAGTAGAGAGGCAGAAATGTGAGGTAACAGGCCTTCTGTGACTTGTAATTTAAGTTTCAAAACAAGAGTGGCCAATGTTTAGTAGTGTCTTATCCAAAGTGGGTATGCTGGTTAGTAGTCTACATTTTTTTTGAGGCTTAAAGGATAATAACAGAATAATATTCTGCTCACTTTTTAATGAAAATTCTCCTTGCTGCTACTTCTAGGCAAATATTTAAGTAGGTTAATAGAACATTAAAAAAAAAAAAAGATAATGGAAGCAGGTTGCGATCCCTTCTATGCTGTTGGAACCCAGGAAGGGAGACAGGGGTATAAAAGATTAATTCTAAGAATGAGTGCTGTGTCAGAGAAGAGGTTAGTTGGATTAAACAAAGAGAGAAAAGGTTCTTCTTACTATGAGTAAAGTTTTTAAATGAGAAAAATCTACACTCTTTAGTTACAAACAAACATTGAAAGGGTTTTATACTAGAGGATATTGGCTCATAAGTTGGGGTTGAGCTGCAGTAATACACCAAGCCTTCAGAACTTGACCCCACAGAAATGGGGCTACTTTGAGCCCTCTGACCCCCAGTCACCAAGGGCATGGGGTAGTAGGTGGAAGAGCAGGATCCACTGTCCACAAGTCAGCACTTTGGCATCATGGAGAGTGTGAGGTTCCACGAAGCTCTGCCTACGTGACACTGCCGCTTCTGATCGTGAATCATAAAGTGTGGGTCAGGCAGCCTCTTCTGAGTATGTGGTGGAGGTTCTTGTTGTTCATTGTTGTGAAGTCAGGAACTCTTCATATCTGACCCTCCAGCAGGTTTTCAAAGGGTGTAAACTGCTTGGGAGGAGATTGCCCAGCTTTCTCCCACGGCAGCTGGTGGATTCATGCTGCCTGCCTCTGAGTTGGTAGCATAACTTCTTACTCACTAGGCCAATAGAGCTCCCATAGACAATCTCATTATCCATT